AAGATATTTTTTAACAAAGAAAAGCAGAGAATTGGGCTAAGATCTTGGAATAAACAACTGGAAGTAAGAAATCATCATTATTACTGTTGAGGAAAAGCATAAGAGCAACATTTCCATCACCCACTTCCTTAGTTCTTCTTCACTATTAGTACCTCAACTGTACAGTGGTCATTATTCTGACTCCCATCAACATTAAATGGAAACAATTATTAATATAAATAAACAATTACTTCTCTGGTGTTTCTAGATTCTTTGTCTCGATGTATTTTTTTAAGGTTTTATTTATTTATTCAAGAGAGAGAGCATGCACAAGTGGGGTGAGGGCAGAGGAAGAAGCTTTATGTGGGGCTCATGACCTGAGCCAAAGGTGGATGCTTAACTGACTGAGCCACCCAGGCTCCCCTTTTTTCTCAGTGTTAATAGGAGCAATATACCTCAGTAATACAAACAATAGTGCTATTGTTGTTATTGCTGACTTGAATTCCATTGTATAAATATATAACTATTGCCTTCATTAGATCATTTTATATTTTCAGCTATTATGAATAAAAATATAATATTTTCTAATTATGTCACACTTCACATCATATCTCACTATAAGTCTCAAATGTCTGCTTTCCACTAATCTCCAGAGACTGGCCAGTTCTTGCTACTCTACCATTACCACTGTTATCCAAGGCAGTATCTTGTAACAACTGTACTACTGTAATGGACACATAACTGTGAATTTCAGTTGTCTCTAGAAGCACAACAATGCTTGCCAATTTCCTTGGATTAAAATCCAAATCCTTACAATGGTCAACCTAACATTTCAAATCCAGTCTCCATTATCTTTACTCATTTCCTACAATTTCTTTTTTTTCCATTGGCTTTGTTTTTACACTTTGATTTTCATTTACTTGCCATGCTTATTTACTCTTCAATATATTTACATTGGCTTCTTCCTATGTGTAGAACATTCCTAATGAGATATCTTTTTGAATTATTAATTCATTTCAGTCCAATGTAATTCTCATGGTTGCCCCTACATTGGATTATTTTATATAAAACTGCAAAACTCTCTGGCTTTCCCTATGACAATTTTCAGCTTTTTTCCCCAGGAATTACTACTGGTTGATATACTATAGATACCTCAAATTTATTTTATTTTATTTTTTATTATTTTATTTTATTTTATATTTTATGTCTCCCTGCATTGGAATATAAACTTAATGAGATCAGAGAATTCTGTCAGTTCTTATCTTTGCTTACCCATATCACCAGTGCCTACACTACAGCAACACACATAGTTAAAACCTTAAATCAATTGTTGAGTGACTGTAGGAATGAATGAACTATTTACACTGAAATATATTACAGTTTTTATAGCACACTTTTAATATCATGTGCTTGAATAGAATATATTCCTACTCACTACATCTAGACCTTAGGAGGATGCTACAAAATATATGTTTTGAGATGCAAACATTGAGTAGAGCATTGAAATGCACTCCTAGAAGCCAAATAATGTTGACAATAACACCATATTTTCCAGATTCCAGCTTGGAAAACCATCTAGTTTCAATAACTATGATTAGGCCATTCTGAAGTGAGCAGGAATCGGTATATTTATCAATTTATTCCATAAATATTCCTTAGAGTTTACATATTCCAAAACAGCATTCTAGGCAAAGTGATCTATGTTGTTCAATCTCAATTAATAAGTGTTTCCCAAAGTGGTATTTCCTGTAAAAAAATATCCATTATACCAACAGTTTTCCCATGGCCCCAATATCCTCTTTATTCCTCAGGCTGAACTGGGTTCAGAAGAGGAGTGATGATGGTGTAAAACACTGCCATGGCCTTATCCTGTTCTGGAAAATGAAAGGAGTGTAGCCTGGTGTAGGTGGAGAGAGTAGTCATATAAAATAGGCTTGCCACTGTCAAGTGAGAAGAACAAGGGGACACAGCCTTTGTCTGTCCTTTACCTGAGCTCATCTGGAACACCACAGTAAGTACACAGGCATAAGAAGCTAGAATGGCCATGAATGGTAGCAACAGAATAATAGGCCCACTCAGGAGGATTGTATGCTCATACTGGGAAGTATCCAGACACACCAGTGGTAGTAGAGATGGAACTTCACAGAAAAAGTGGTTAACAATCCGAGACCTACAAAATGGAAGTTGAAATACATACAATGCATGTACTAAAGCATTGATAGAACTACTAGTCCATGCACATGTGACCATGAACCAACAGTTCTTCTTGTTCATGAGTACAGGATAGTGTAAAGGGTGACAGATGGCTACATATCGATCACAGGACATGAAACCAAGGAGAAGGGCTTCAGTCCCACCAAGGGTCAAGAAGACAAATGCTTGAATCTCACAGCCTAAAAATGTAATGATCTTACTGTTTGTCAGGAAGTTAGTGGTCATCTTGGGAACCGTGGTGGAGATGTACATCATGTCGATAAAGGAGAGCTGACTGAGTAGAAAGTACATTGGAGTGTGGAGTCTGGTGTCCAAGTGAATGAGGAGGACCAGTATGATATTCCCCATCAGAGCCACTGAAAAGAGAATTACAATGGCAACAAAGAGGAAAGTGTCCATCTGACCATCATGGAAAAGACCAGAAAGTACAAAATCTGTTTCTACACTTTGATTTTCCATCTTCATAGTTTAAATGGAAACATCAGAGCAGGTCATATCCCTAGATTCCATGGAAGACACTGACTGTCCTTTAAGAGAAAAGAAAATGATTATTGCATGCCTCTTATTGCCTCCATACCATTTTCCCAGCCAAGTGGAATTTCCTGACTATACACTACTTTTATTTTCTTCTTTAAATGAGGGGAAAACAAAATTATCTTATTACAGTAACTTTCAAGAGTAAGTCTTGTATGACCAGAGCTTAGTCAAAATCTTTATACACAAGATGCATTTTAGAGAATGTATGGTTTCTCAATTAATTTCCCTTTACCCTCACTTTTTTTCTTTTAATCATCAGATGTACTAATCCCAATCAACACCCCAATGAATTTATGACAGTATTAAATGTACTTTATGGGGGTCCTGGATGCCTCAGTGGGTTAAGCATCTTCCTTTGGCTCAGACCATGATCTCAGATTCCTGGGATGAGAGCCCTGCATGGGGCTCCCTGCTCAGCAAGGAACCTGCTTCTCCCTCTCCTTCTGCTGCCTCCACCCTGCTCATGCTCTCTCATTCTTGCTCTCTCTCAAATAAATAAATAAAATCTTAAAAAAAATACTTTAAATTTCTGTCTAGTTTGAAAAAATGTTTCACCCTTTAATTTTTTTTTGAATTAGCACAGAATTCTTAGGCCTTTTGTTAAGCCTATACAAGATTTTTTATTGAGGGTTCCTTCCATCTCTGATTCCAAAGATAATAGTGTGGTAAGTCCTTGAACCATTGAATGCTGTAAAATCATCTGCATAATTTTAAATCACTCAACTTTAGTCTACAACAGCTATAACATAGTATAAATACAAAACATTTTGATAAGTAGAGAATTCTTAGGCCTTTTTAAAGCATATACAAATTTATTTAATCAAGTTTTTTGCTGCCTCTCATTCCAAAAGATAGTATTATGGCTAAGTATTAAACACATTGAATGCTGTAAACGTTTTTCCATAAAGTTGAAGAAGTTAATTTTAAGCTATGCAACCTATAATGTATTACAAATAAAAAAAAATATTTCACCTGATAGATGAGGAAAATGTGCTAAAGTGAATGTTGAGACTAGAAGCACGTAAAAGACATCATGCATCCTCTTTTTCCAAAAGAAAATCCTCTTACTCCCATTCTCGTCCTCCAACATCCAAAGGTATTTTCTAGATACAGATAGAAATTCCAAATTAGAGGTTCAATTCACTTTAATATAAAATGTATTGAGGACTTACAGCTTATGATATTATGTTCACCAATATAGTCTAACATTTACAGTTCACAATCATAAATAAATATAATTACAATGTAGCTCTGGTGGATTAAGTAATGACTTGGACTTTCAGTATGAGGTAAGAAATTTAAAATAACATCATCTTAATATATGTTTTAAACCAAAACTGGAAACTTGGCAGGAAATATAGACAATATCATGGTAGATTTGTGATTAAATAGTTATGAAATATGAGATTAAATATTATGAGTTTCATAAACTGAAAGTCAAAAATTTTTACCAAAATATTATCAATAAGCAATTATATCAGTAATTAATTTCATCATAATAAAAACTCTTTTGATTCTTATCATAGTCCACATATGTTTTTGCATGGTTTTTTCTCCACATTTCCCTTGAATTTTGACTTCCGTTTGTATTAAAAATACTTAATATAAATTTTATTTAATGTTAAATAAGTTATTAGAAAACTCATATCAAAAGATAAAAAAGTAAAGAAAGGAGTAAGAATGGGAGCCAAGCATATGGAAACTATGTTATCTTCTTCATATTAAGAAGTAATAAGGTAAATATCAAAATGGAATTAACAATAATATCCAAAAATTTTATGGAACTATACAATTTACAAATTATTTTAATAGAACTGCATAGAATTCTCACTACATATTTTTATTTTCTGAAATACTTCATCTATTTTATAGACTTTTATGATTTCAAATATTGTTGGGTATAAGTTTGTGCTAAGCCTAATACAAAATACAAATGTTAAGTTTACATGAGAAAGAATAGGCATGTTTACTGGCTAAGTCAGAATACAAGGATGTTCCAGGGTCATAATCTCTCTTAGGTAGGAGATACACACTACTATCAAACTCTGGTCCTATCTCATGGTATCATGATGTCCTCCATCCCCTCTGTTCTTATTACCCTGGGTTGTACAAATTCAATATAAGACAAAACAAATCTCAGATACAAACCTCTGTGTTCTTTTTATAGAAATCATTTAAGTAATATGTTGACCACCTAGCTATCTCAGATATAGTCTCATTGAGAATATGCACATATCAGAAGCATAATAGAATTCACTGTATATAATCACCAAAATGAAATACATTTTTTTAAATAGTATATCTGAGTCTAATTGCATGTTTTCTTTTTTATGTAACTTGTATTAAACTCATAAAGACATTCTAATTTCTAACTTACTTCAGAGGACTCAGCAGAATAAACACCTATTTGATTGCTGAGTGATTGCTCTTGTGAAAAAGACTTCTTTCACCAAACCATGCTTATGAAACTAAAGAAAAAATATATTTCCTTAAAACACTATATTTTCTTCTAGACGAGCAGACATATAAATTGTCTTCAATTTTATAAAATAATTAACCTAAACATCATTGCCTTTGAGGCATATAGCCCCTTATATACAGCTGTATCTCATTCTTCTAGAATTTTGTTCTCTAAACATTGATCAAAAAATGATAGATATATCTGCAATAGGATGTATAGAAAGGATTCCTAACAGTTAAATGAGGGCAATAATTACAGTGTTGCAGCAATTCCTTCTTTAATAAAAATTAATAAATTTATAATATTTGTTGATCATCCATGTAAAAAATTACACAGGCAGAACCACATATATTTTGAATAATCAGTTATTGAATGTGGCATATCTGAAGAATACAAAAAGAAAGAAAAAATAAAAGATTCCAAGTGAAATCAAAAAAATGTTTAAGTCTCTAATTGAAACACATTTTAAGAACTTTTAAAGCACTGAGTCTATAAGATAATAGGTGTTGTTTTTGCCTTAGAAAATAAGTCTTTATTCATTCAACATGGTAAACTCAGTAGAAAATGTAATTTAAACCTACACGGTCATTCTCCTCATGTAAGACTTTTAACCACTCGGGGCAAGTGGACTGACTGTCTATTCATGGTGGAAACTCATATTTTGTTTCCATGGGCCTTTGGGAAAAGTTGGTCTCTAGTCCACAATTAAGCACATTTTATACATTGCAGTTGATGCTGCTTTAAAGCTTGTGTCAGGGCTCCAAAAGAAAAGAAAAAATGATTCTTAGACAAATGCTCAAATATATTTATTGAAATGAATAACAATCACATCACCAGATTTATCTGATAAGGTTTTAGGAAGTATTATTTCATTGTACTTTACCTTTAAAATATGCATATGTATGTGTACTCCAAATAATTAATAACCAACTAATATATAATTTGATTTTTTTGTGTACAAAATAGGTAAGAATTTCTGAGGAATTACATGAGGTGGGGGATGCTGTAGTATAGTGCATTGTATTTGATACAACAATCTTAAAAATATTGGCATGGTTATGGAAGTAGGATTCATGTTTCCAATTCCAAAATGGGAAAATTGTGCCCAAGTTCAGAGAGAGTAATTTAAATAATACCATGGTGCTCACTTAGTCTTTTTCTATAGCAACAATATTTATTGAATTGGTAGAAATTAAAGTGAGGTTGGATTTTAACCAGTCAACTGCTTTAACTAATTTTGTGGGGTGATATATGGCAACTCCTCTACTCAAATTTAAAAACAAAACAAAACAAAAAAACAAAACAAAACAAAAAACAAAACCTAAAAAGAATAGAAAATAGAATTGCAATAACTTCAAAGTGAAGGTAATGTAATTTAGAGTTCAGATGTAATACGCAGAGTATTACTTTATCTCTTTGAATATAAAACACATTCATCAGTTCTTATTAAAGTGAGTATATATATCCTATCTTCATTTCTCCCAATTACTCTACATGTAAAATTTAGTTGAAAATATTGGCTCTTACTTTTCCTTAAAATAGTTGTGAAAAGACTTTCTCTGAAAAGAATATTCATTGTGAAAAGACTTTCTCCACAAAGAATATTCCAGCAATCAACTTTGAATGTCTGTCCTCAGAGGGAAAAACAGAACTTATAGAATAGAGATCTCAGATTTTAAATAATTTTGAGTCCCATAAGTAATCAACACTTACTTCAAGGCTAGTCACTGATGGAAATAATTTTAGCCTATTATGCAACAAACCTATTTTAGTAGTCTGACACGTACAGTCTTGGTTGCTTACCTTAAGAAAAAAAATGCAATAGGGCGCCTGGGTGGCTCAGTTGGTTAAGCGACTGCCTTCGGCTCAGGTCATGATCCTGGAGTCCCGGGATCGAGTCCCGCATCGGGCTCCCTGCTCGGCAGGGAGTCTGCTTCTCCCGCTCCCACTCCCCGTTTGTGTTCCCTCTCTCGCTGTGTCTTTCTCTGTCAAATAAATAAATAAAATCTTTAAAAAAAAAATGCAATACACAATTAAGATATGACCTTTGAAGGGCTTTGACAAAAGAGAAGCCCTAATGCTGATTTCTTTACCTTCAAGATAAATCAGCCTCTGAATTTAGGTCTAATACTTTTTGGTAATAGCTACCATTGTTGTTATTTTATTGTCACTTGACATGGTGTGAGAAAGATATTTTAAGTGTATTATGAACCAATGACAATAAAGTACTTAAGATAGTTATGAAATGTTAGTAATCCAACCAAAAAAAAAAAAAACAAACCCAAAAAACAAACCAAAAAACTTGTAGTAGTTTAAAAATAAGGATATGTCCTTAGTTTGCCAACATTTAGCAAGAGAATAAAAGTGGAATTTGGTGATTGAATGGAGCTGGAAGAAAATGGTTTACTTGCACAAATACGATAATCATAATTATTTTTGTTTTCTTATTGTGAAGTTCACTCCTTTT